TTAAGCTATCTATAAGATACAATTTATTTCGTAGATAACAGGGTCGTGCATACTACCACCTCCATTTATCTCATAGTTAAGAAATCCTTGAGATAACCAAGGAATCTAAGGATTTTTTGGTCTATTATGTTAAATTGACAGATTTATGTGGTCAAAAGACCTACTATTAGGTATTTTGACGATATTCTAACTGTACTAACCTTAAAATTAAAATTTGGAAATGGAGACTGAGAAAAGGCGACGAACCACCTATTTCACCAAAAAAGAATGCGAACATCTTCTTGAATTTGTTATCAAACATAAAAACGTAACAGAAAACAAGAAAAGTGATGCAGTTACATGGCAAGGAAAGCAAAAAGTATGTATATCTCGTATTATTGTATGTTAAAATGTGATGGTAAACAATAATGGCACAACTAACATGATGAACGACTCAAGGTGCCAATTATACACTCACTCCTGCAAAATCTGCTATGGATAGCAACATGTTACCTATTGCATAAAACCGAAGAGTCAGCAACAAACGGTTTGAAGGAGGTACAGCATTATTACTAAAATTTTGATGAATTTTACATTAAATAATAACAATTAACAAATTACTTACATCATGGATGGAGGTTTTATTACATCTTCTATTTGATTCAAAAGGTGATGAAAACTTTTTTTCGGGAGACGTAATCTCGTCATAAATTCAACATCTGAATGAATATTTAAATACTTCTACTCCTTATTATCCTATCGCTTCTTATAGCAAATAATTCATTGATTTCTTCAAAAATTTGTTCATCATCTCCAATGTCGAAGAAATTATCCATGATGATTTTATCTAATGTTAATTATTAATTGTTTTTTATTTAAGTTTATATTACTTTTCTTATTTTAATTGAAATAGTAAAACGCTCGAATTTTATACGTCAGTATAAATTCTATTTGAGGTTAGGTATCCGCAGTTATCCCTTAGATAGCAACTTATCCGACAGCTAATCCACGGGTTACAGATATTTCATAAGTTATCCCTTGAATAGCGGTATCTATAAGATAAATACAGTAGTAGTAGCCAATTTTTAAACTATCCGATAGATAACGCTATCGGAGACTTTAACTATGAGTGGTAGTAGTGGGCCTAAGTATATCAATTGCAGTACATCTTCCCCGCAGCTCTATAATGTTTATATAATAATTCAGCGGTATTATATCTTCAAGCCAAGGTCGCTTGCGGCCGAGACAGTGGTTCAATTTAGTTCTATTTTTAGGAATCTCTATAGTAGAACCTGGGCTGCAAGCGACAACAAACAGCAATGTTTTACGATCACCCAAAATATAGCTTTCCTGCCTTAGTTTATCTTTAAGATTCTCGATTGTAGTGCCTCGGCTGTAAGCGACCTCAGCTTGATTCTAAAACATTACCAATTTTTTATGTAAATAACATATACTAAGACAATGAAAATATATTTTTAGTGAGCGGAAAACAATATAGCCGAGATAATTTTCATTACAATCGAGACACTAAAGATAAAACCAGATCAAACCACTGCCTCGGCCGCGAGCGACCTCGGCTAGAAGATGAAATATCATGATCTTGTTATACAAATAAATATTACCTATATACTAAGGCAGGAAGGATTTATTTTTGGTAATGGTGAAACGTTGTAAGTTGTAACTGATGTAGTTTGCGACCAAGGCACTACAATGGAGATACTTAAAGATTAAATGAGATCAAACCACTGCCTCGGCCGCAAGCGACCTCGGCTTGAAGATATAGCCGAGGTAATTATTACAAGTTAATTACGAGATAATTATTAGCCGAGGTAATTATTACCCAATATAGCCGAGATAATTTTCACTACAATCGAGACACTAAAGATAAAACGAGATCGTATTACTGCCTCGGCTGCAAGCTATCTCGGCTAAAAGATAAAATATCAAACGTAGTTATACAAATAAGTACTATATCCTCCCTGCCTTAGTATATATTTTTGGTGATGGTGAAACGATGTAACTGATGTAGATTGCGACCGAGGCACTATGGAGATACTTAAAGATGAAATAAGATTAAACTGTTGCCTCGGCCGCAAGCGACCTCGGCTGGAAGATAAAACGTTACGATCTTGTTATACAAATAACTATTATTTATCAAATAGTAATACATAAATTAATATAATCAAATAACTAACACTTATAATGTTTCATGAGAGACCTTCCCATTGACAAGATTTTCTTTCAATAATATTAGAGGTCTTAATTTTAACATGTTGTCGATACATCTTTTAGGAAGGTTGTTTTCATCAGAGTATAAGTTTTTCTTTATTTCTGAAAATCTATGATTTCTCATTGCCTTTGTAACCAGTACAAATATTGCCTATTGTATTGTTTTGTTTAAGCAATTATTTTCATTAAAATTAAGAACATCGATATCACATTTGTTCAAACAAAATCTCTCCAAACTGATTCCCTAAAAACACCTGGATCGACCTTTTTGCATAACTTGAAAGCTACTTATTATCACAGTTGCATTTATTAACTCACCGCGAAACAACTTCAATTCAATACAAGAAATGTGTTTGTACCATTTCGATTTAAAATGATCATGCTATAGGAAATTTAATTTTTGCAAACTGGTTTCGAATCAATCTGTATATTAAGGTTATTAAAAATGAATTCCACAAATAATATTGTTATTGCTAAAACAATGGTGAATAATGTTTAATTTTTAATTGAAATCGAATGTTCATAAAGAATAATCTTTTAGTATAAATATCAGTGTCAAATCCTAAGCGACAATATAAAATAAACTCTAAATTCACAGTATACTTACACACCTTCTCAGTTAGTAAACATAAAGGAAGGTATTAGCATCTTGAAAATACTTGTTTTTGGATATCTCGATTAAATTATCATATAAAACTCATTGGAGCTACTTATTTCCTGGATAACTCCACTCTTCACAAAGATTACAAAAACCTTTTATGGGTACTTCACATTCTTCGTTAGAATGTATAATGAAATTCAGTCCAATAACTAGATTGTCCGTTTAAATAATCCATTAACATAATCGATTTTACTTCTATCAAAATGTTCATTAGGTTGCTTCAGTTAAAATCCAATACTTTACTCGCTACACTAGAATGTTACTGAAATAATGTGAACTGGGCATAAAGGTCAACGCAATAGAATACATGAAATAGTACACAAAGTATAACTGTGTAATTTATGTAACATCCTGGTAATGGGAATATAAATACAATCCCGTCAACGTATAAAGTCAGATACCTATTGTATTTAATCGTTCGCTTTGTGTTACTCGTATTTATAATGCACGAGGACGTAAGTTGACTTGGTTTTGCAAGCGTGCATACAATATCGATACTATTAGGATGAGGGATTTTTCTGCGCATGAATAATAGTGTTTTTTGTTTCGGAAAAAGGAAAAGCACATGCACAGAAGTATGTTAAAATAATTGTAATTTGGTTTAAGGAAGTAATTAAAAAAATTCCGTGTGAAAGAGTCAAGTGAGTAAGATTTAAAATTAAAACTTCAGGTTGGAAATACTGTGGACAACTATTTATAAGGTCCTTAATTACTCTTGAGAGTAGAGTCCTACGGTGTAATCCGCAAAAACTATTACACGGCACGAGTAAAATTATGGCCCGGGGGTGAACTTCCCGAGAGGTGTGTCGCACGAGCCTTCTATATTTACCTCCAAGAAGTTATTAAAGTGCCCCTCATTAGCGTTGTACTTCATCCTCCCGGTTCGTAATTGGCTTTCAACGAACGCCACACTCGTTTCAACCGTTTGGCAAATGTGTTTCTATCCTATACTTAAATTATTTCCAAAAAAATATTTTAAATTTCGAATAATTAATATTGTTAAAAAAGGCAGAAACATCGAAGACCGGACTTGTGACATATAGTCGTCCTCCCACTCCTTCGACCAATGACCTTTGGCGCGTTTTAAAGCGGAGCCCCATTTTTAAGGTTGGTATACACGAGTGAAAGAGCGAGACCAACGTTGCCGCGCATTGTATATGATTTACGACATGCCATTTTTGAACCGGGGCTCCTGACCGGACAATCGACCAAAGGACGATAAGGGGGGCGATTTTTACCCGGCTAATTATGAAAACAATGCTTGTAAAGGGTTTGGTAATAAACCTTAGCAAATGTTCTCCAACAGAAAACGCTTTGATTATTTTTTGAAAACCTTTTTGTTGTTGCTAATCCTTACTTCTTGCATTGTTGCGTGCAAAACAAAAGCATCTCAAGAAAGATTAAGAAAGGAAAAAGTAGGCATTGTGGGGTCATGTGATCAATTGAGTGCACGAAAATACACCAAGGAAATGAAAAAGGTAGTTTATTTAATGTTGTTGATGGCACGAAATCGGCATTACACCACTCACTACTCATCTTTGATTAAGACGAACCAACTTCCGTTCGCCTTTTGCGCTTCCTCATTACCTGCAAGTTTTCGTTTACTTATTGCCTCTTTTCCAATCCCCCCAATTGGGCCAGAACCACTCCTTCAACCTCCACGCCTATAGCGCACTATAGTTCTCAAGAGCGGAACGAAAATCCCCACTACTTCTTTTACCGTTTAGTGTACACTCACAAACAAAAAATAATGTACTTAAATATAAAGTACCAAAAAATAAATCATTTCCCACTTTATGTCATTGTTGCAAAGAAAGTAAAAATTGTTCTTCTCTAAAAGTCTAAAAAGTAATGGTTTCTTTTATTGGCGACCTTCCATCTACTATAAATGTCTACGTATTTTATTGGTGACTGTACACGAACTCTCCGGGTAAGGCCCTCTGGCGTGCAGCAGTCTCTATGCCCAAGATGACCCATTGTCGCGTCACAAAGAACTGCTGATGATGACCGAAAGGCACGGAGAATTCTCTCTCCTTGGCATCAGGTCGACGAAGTCGTTCTCTTTCCTTGTTCTTTGCCCACCACATTGGCCGCGCGTCGGTCAGTTTCCTATCTCTTGCGCTTTCGCCTTCCTCGTTGCTCTTCAGAGACCCCAGTTGCAGCCACCTCGTTTGGCAACCACGCTAGTAGTCACTTGTCAACCGATGCGGAGTGCGCACGTGTTAACCCGGCTTTAAAACGCGGCACAAATTTATACCGTGAAAAGATAAAAATATATAAAAGAGACTATTTAAAAATTGTGAAGAAAAATTTTCCTTAGTTGTCGTTGCTGTTAATTATGGATTTTTTATGGACGAACTTTGAGGAATTTAGTGTTGAAAATAGTGAGTTTTAAAGATAATTTCTAATTACACCAACAAAAAAAAACATAGATGGAGAGTAATTTTAAAGAATTTTGTAAGGGATTGATATTGAAGCCCTCTTAGCAAACATTAAAACGTCGATCCTTTTCTTATCAAGTGGTCCACATAACCGTTTTAAGATAAGATCTTTTACGAAATCCCATTTTATTTAAGGAGTTTTAATAAAAGGATTAACCTGAAAAAATTATTAAGTAAATAAAAAAATATTTCAAAACGAGAAATTAAAAAGTGATCGAAAAAAAATCGTTTCAATAAAACCTAAATTCTCCAAAGTTATTATTAAAAACGTCGCGTTTAAAAAAAAACCTAATTTAAAATTTTTAAACATTTTACTATAGAAAAATTCTTTCTTTTATTTCTTCTACCATCCCATTTTAAAGTGTACCAAATCAGGTTATTTACGCTTTTTTTAACTACCAAAAAAAGTCTATATAAAAGAATTTCGGAGAAGGTACCTCAAAACAGAAAGTCAACTACTTAGTTTCGGGTTTAGTTCGGCGTCTGAAGACGCACAACGAAATCCGAAACTTTCTAGTTTTAGGTCTAGTGTTAGTTCTAGTTTTAATTGTTATTCAGCGATTGTTGTATATTTTTAATTGAACTAAAATTGGAACTAATACTAGACCTAGAACTAGAAACATTCGGATTTAGCCGTACGTCTCTTAAGACGGCTAAACCAGAATGATTCTAGTTGTAGCTCTAGTGTTAGTTCTAATGATAGTGTTAGTTGTTTTTCAACGTTAGATTGTTGTACATTTTCCATTGAACTAAAACTAGAATTAACACTAGACCTAGAACTAGGATCATTGGGTTTAGCCGTCTTGTGAGACGCAGAGCTAAACCCGAATGATTCTAGTTCTAGATCTAGTGTTAGTTCTAATGCTAGTGTTAGTACTAGTTTTAATTGTTATTCAGCGTTAGATTGTTCTATATTTTTCATCGAACCAAAACTAGAACTAACACTAAATATAAAAAAAGAACTAGAAAATTTCGGGTTTAGCCGTGCATCTTCAGACTCTCTTTCCCGTATTAGTTCGTTATATAGAGATTTTTTCATCTAAAATATACTTTTTTTTTAATTTAAGAACCGTTTCTTTTTGGTTAATACCTTCCCCTCATTATTGATCTGCTTTATCATCTATTAGCAGAAAACTAGGGTATATTACAACAACCAACGCCCTCGTAACAAATGATTGATTACTTAATAAAAATGCATCAATCTATCACAACTTGTCTATCCAGAAAGATTGATAAAAATGTACCCAGTTTCTCTTTAGCTGGGTCGTTGTATTTACGTATAACGTTTTCGTAGGGAAATCGACGTAAATGTCTTTATAAATAACGCGACCGCGGTTGCGTTTGTGAAATAAAAAAAAAAGTTTTCTCGTTCGTCCACCTCTTTTGCTCCTAGTAGTACACACCTACACTATTCCGCAAGCTTAAAACTTTAACAAACAAACAGATCGGGCATTGTGCAACTTCAATCCAAAAATAACAACGAAAGCAAGCGTCTGCATTTTATCGATGTGTGTATTTATTTAATCGTTAAAAGAAAATAAGTTAAAGAACAGTGAGTCAGCAACATCATTAAATTGAATGAATTCGTACCGTATATTGTATAATATTGAACGAAGTACACTTTAAAATAGGTTCTTACCAATTTGTCTTTTGAAGTTTATAAAGGAAACGAACCATTCGATTAAGTTAATTGGTGTTTATTCTAATTAGTTTAGGACGCGCATCAGAGGCGATGGTGGTAAATACTCAAAAGCAGCTCAATTTTAGATGAAACTGAGTCACGCGTTTGCGTGATGCTTCTGTGTTTGCATTAATTATGGTTTATTATGTAATGTTAATGGTAGGACATAAACGATATCCGTGGGAATATTTTGTTTACTGTTAACGTAATTATTGGTTTAGTATTTTAATGTAAACTAGTTATTTTTCATCTTTCTATATTATTAAAATAACTTTCTTTCATTTTACAAGAATTCAAAAAAAAATAAGTTAATAAGGTATTTTTAGTTACATTTTGGCAACATCCATGCAAATTTAAATAAATCTAAGTGATTTTATGAGAATGCCACAATTTATTAAAAATTGGGATGTTTTTCGTTCAAATCTAAAGAAATTAAGAAACAAAGAGGATTCAAGATTGAAAATTATCATCATCACAAATATTGAGGTTCCATTCGCTAATTAGTCAAGAATATATAAGAAGTCTTAAAAATCCACGTTGACACAAAAAATGACCCAGTTTTCATTGCAACAATACAGAGTATGAATTTGCATACAAACTGGGTCAGGTTTTAAAGATTTTGGAACAAATTGGATTTTCCAGACTTTATTTAGGACATTCATTCAACCTGTTTTTCATAAATTTTCACGCCATATTTTTTGTACTTGTTAGCATTTGTAATCTCATTTGGGAAAGTTTTGGTAATCTTAATAACTTTCCAAAGACGGTTGATGTATACTTGAACGTCGCTTATTTATTTAGGATCAGAGCCAAGGATAACAGCAGTAAGGAGTAATGGCAAGTTTAAGACGGTTAAATAAGTCTAAATTAAGTCAACTTAAGAGAAATGATTTTCAAAGATAGTTTGAACATATTTGAAACACGAAATACTACTCTAAATTGGTTATGTAATTTGAGTTAATAATTTAATCTTGAGGAATTACTATGTTATTGTTATAAACTATGTTATTTAAAAAAAGATAGAATTCAACTAGTCGAATTTCTGTAAACACCATCAATCAAAAGGTTCCTTATCATATCTCCTAATAATTCGGTATTAATGATCGTTTTTGTGTTTAATCATAAATATCATTAACAAAGATATCATATACCAAGAAGGCGTAACTCAAGCAATCAAGTTGGTACATATTTGCGATGTTTTTAAGTTATATTTGTAAATGAAAATAACAATACAGCATGTTTAAATACTTGTGGTTATGTTCGCCATCAATTTCAATTACTACTTCACATTAGCTTGGCAGGCGGCTCTGCGAGCAAAGAAATCGTGATTCTTGGAGGCAACCCACGCTTTGACTTAGACTGCCAAGTCGTCCAAATCGTCGTAAATTTTATTTGGTTGCCAGTATTTCAGCAAAATAATTATGCAGCCTTTCACAAAGTGACAAAATTTAATGCAATGAGTATTTAAATCGATGAAATCATAAAGAATAGTTTTTGAAATTTTGTTTAACGACATTTGATAAATGAAAAATACGTAAATAATTTTAAAGCTAAATAATATACAATAAAATGCTAAAGATAAAAACTACAACAATAAATTGGAATTGTCTATATAATTTACAATGTGATACATTTTACAACCCTCAATTTAAGGAAGAAACAAATAGAAAATTAATCCATAAAATTGACAAAAGCTATAAACTTGAACTTTACGACGTATTTGAAATAGAAAAGTTTAAAGCTCACAAAAACACTTACAGAAGCTTGATGATCAAGTAAAGTTAGTTAAACTGCCATTATTGAAACTTGGAAACTTTCGTGTTTCTTTTAATTGTTAAATGTAAGTAATCAATTAAGATCCTTACAAGAATTAATTCTATTATAATGAATTATGTACAATTTTTTTATGATTCTATTCGGGATTATATTTTATTTGAATTACTGCAAGTCGAAATCTGAACTTTCTAAGTCATCATTATTTGTTCACAAGTCAGTGGTTACTAAAATTGTAACCCCACTTAACCACTCCGTTCCGAAGTTTAGATTTAGTTCCTTAGTAAATATAGGGGATGTTCTACAAGGCATATCGTATTTCGGTTTCTCTGGTTGTATTGTATTATTTTCATTAAATCCCTTAAACCTGTATTGGCTTCAATGGAAATACTTATATCTTTGAAATCTTCAAGTGCCCACAACAATTTTTTCTACATTTTGTTGATGCTTTTCAGAATTACTAATCCTTTCTTGGTAATTTCTCTGATTGCAACTTAGAGACCCTGAATCTCAGGAATGGAATATATGCCACTCACCAATTCTCTTTTCTGCTTATAACTCGTCATTTTACTAGAACCATGGTTATGTATATATTCCATCACAATTTTTTCCTCCACTGTGATTAGGATAGCATTGTTGTTTATGTTGTGTCAAAGTTGATTGAAATTTCCTTCTGAGGCGGTTATAAACGCAATAACACGTTGCTCATCTTGAATGTATGTAGTCAATTATTTTTATTGATGAGAAGATATTTAACCATGAATTTGAACACCTTCAGTTAAAGCTTACCTTTGTCAGTTTACTATTTTGATTGCTGGTTCTTGTAACTACATCAGATTATAATACCACGAGTGTTTTGATACCAAAACTGGTGAAAAACATCCCCAGAAACCATTAATATTTCTTTTATTTGCTTTAATCCGGTTCTAACCACTTGGCGCTAACGTTTGTTTGGCGAAAAAAGTGTCACAAACTTCCAGCGATGAAGGTTCAGATTTTTGTAGGTGCCGTTACATGTTTTTTTAAACCTTTTTCGGCATCGGATGTCAATTTAAATGACTTATTGCCGTGGAGCAAGTCTATATGTTATTAGGAGCTAGTCTATAATTAGGAGTTTGAAGCTGAACTTCTCATAATTACTTCTTTGTTGTAAGTTTCGTATTTACAAAGATCTCGAAACCACAATGAGCCCAGGAGTCAATACAAGCTGTGTATTCGTAACCTTTAAAATACTAGATTGAGATGGAAAAGTTGTTCTTTCAAGCTATTGGTAAAGGTAATATGAAAGTATGTAGGAAGAACTCTCTGAAAAAGCTTTGGTTGCAAACGACCTAGGCTTGGGTTCTTTTTGGTCGTAAAAGACTTATAATAATATAATCAAGCCACGTTGCCACAATTAAATAAAATTATACTTTCTCTGCTCATAATTAAGCTGAGGTCGCTTGCGTCCGAGGGGCTTCAATGCCAGCTGTCTCTTGGCACTTTTGCAATCACTCCCTATCTTTAAAGGTCACCATCGTAACGTCTCGGCCGCAAGCGACCTTGGCTAAAATAAAAACTATTTCTATCTTGTATTGTCTGCATCTCGTATACTCTATCTTAAAGTTATCTTTGTAGCGGCTCAACCTAAGCGAACAGGACTTCTATTCTTGTTAGTCGTAGATGATTTAAGTCGAGGTTACTTGCGGCCAAGGCACTACAATGTATTCGAAATTGTGTCAAAATCTATAAGAAATATAAAATCTTTGTTGCAGCATACTGGTAGACGTCTTCAAATATAATAAAAAGTTTAAAGCTATAATTTTTTGAAGATTTTTTTGCGATTCAAAAAAATTATAAAAAAAAACCGTAGTAATTTTATGACCAACCCAGTTTTCTCAGATCTGTTGTAATAAAACTCAAGAAATGTAATAAATCTCCTTAAAAACTCGGTGGAATACATTAAAATTGCAGAAAAATTTACATTTTTACGAGACATCTCTGTAATCCATAAAAACTATAAACGAATAGTATACGAATAAAAGTTTTAAATTGTCAAAAGTATCACAATTGATTTAAATTTAAACCAAAAGGAGAATACGAAACCATACTCAAAAAGGTCCACATGTAAATACACAGTCAAAAGATAACGTCGCTCGTGTACCTTCTGCCAAACATTTTTTCTCCTTTTTTTTTTCATGTTTCTTCAGCAAGTCAGGAGCCGTACCTGCAGATATTCATCTTCCGCGGTTTGCTTCGCGTACCGTTTTTTTCTTCCACTTTCCTCTTCTTCTTCTCTTCCTTTCAAGGTTCTTCTCTTCACTCTTTCTCCATGACAAAACATTGCATTGAAAAGAAAGAGTAAAAGAGAAGGAAAAAGAGGAGGAGGATGGTGGGCGAATTCCTTCTCTCGAAGTTATATATTCGTGGACGTGGGATTTGCTTCGCACGTTCCCAGCAACAACGCAAAGCTCCAAACCACAGTTGTAACAGTATCAGCTAACACGCACGTGTTGCAACTGGTTCAATTATCGGGCGTTTGGCTCATTCGGTTCGGTTTGAAAATTAAACCTGCGCTTCCACCATAATAAAAAGTTTTTGATATTAGTGGTTTTAAAGTTTTTAACTTAACGATTATGACGGTTTTATTGTTTTAAATGATTTGTTATAAGTGAGGTTGGTGTGGGTGGATATAAATCGATGTAAGGAAAAACCTTTTGTGTTTCATTTTAAAATTTGAAATTAATCGTGCTGTTTAAATTGTAAGAGCTTAGATGGGGGAGAAAAAGATATCGTTTGTCGGTAGAAAATAAGACAAGCACCTGACTTTTCTGTCATACACACACACATATATATATATATATATATATATATATTTACAGGTGATCTGAAAATAGAGTCAACGATCTCGATGGTAAATTGCCGTTGAAAAAAACGCTCATTAACATCCCCAGTGTAAACAAGGCGAAACGAAGGAAGTGCGCCTTCTACTAGTTCCATGAAAAAAAGACTTCATGTCTCGTTTAATTTACCTTGTTGAACTTTTAGACACGTGCTGGTTTCGTTGCCGACGCCGTAAACCCTCTCCGTGTAGTCTCTAAAATTAGAATCGGTACCCTTTTGCTGCCAGTTAACTAAGGAAATGTTTCATTGGAAACTTCGGGGTTCTAATGAGAACAAGAAAAGGAAATGACAAAAAAATTAGTTTTTTATTTATTTTTTTTGGGTAATAAAATAGAGTTAGTTTTTAATTCCGATCTTGACATTTCCCTTTGGATTCACAACGGTTATTTGAAAGTCGCAATGACATTATGGTCTTTGTGAGTCCATCCTCCCGGTGCCACATACGTGGGCAGAAAAGTAATTGCCAGTCTGTCTAAAATTAAAGTCCCAAGACCCGACGCTCCACGCTGATTTTATTGTGAAACCTTTACTTCCTACATTTATGTTTTGAACAGCTGCGCGCCTCTTACGGCATCCTAAAATATTACTAATTACCGCGTTACGAGAATAGATTTCTGCGCGAATGAAATCTATTTAACGGTTTTATTGTTTGTCATAAACACAAATATTCAGTTACAAACAAAAAGAATTTAGACAATTCAGATTTATAATTCAACTTTAGTACTATATTAATCCAAAATTTTCAATTTTGATCTTGTTTTTAATTTAACAATTACAGTAAAACCTCGACATAACGGATTGTTGTATATTTTTCATTGAACTAAAACTAGAAAGTTTTGGATTTAGCCATGCGTCTTCAGGCGTGAAATAGTAGTTGCCTACCTATGCGTGACGTCACGAACGGACCTTCGAGCTATGCAACTGTTCGCGGGATGTAGCAGTCCTCTCGATTCAAACAGTTTAGTGTAAATTAAAAATTTTTCATATAACGGACACTCCCTTTCCCGTATTAGTGCGTTATCAAGGTTTTACTGAATATTGAAAAATATGTGTTGGATGTTATCTTAGCCATTTATTTACAAGCTTTCGAACTAATAAAACTGTTGAAGGGGTCAATGAGAGGTCGAGCATTTATCACTCGAGCTGTAGACGCGATCCCTTTAATAATGTCAATAGCAAAAACAAAGCCACAATATGACCACTATTACCGAGAATTTCATCAGCAGGAATAACAAAATCGCATCAATATTTACTTTTATGATCACTGAAAGATAATAAATCTGACATTATTTCTTAATATGTGTGATTTCAACTTTTTATATGCTTAGATTAAAACTAAATAAAAACATCTATCTCTTATTAAAAAAAGAAAACATTTTATAAATTACACTCACGTCTATTACTTCTTTAGCTTTTAAGAACCGGCTGTGTGTATTGTTTACAGGCCCGATCTATTGTTCAACGACGTGTTTAGGAAAACGCCAACCGAATTTTTAAATAGCCATGAATCGAAACGAAACTTTTTTTTTGAGAAAGTTTTTTTTTAACTTGAATTGTGTTTTCTTTAATGAGTAATTCAATGGTAATGATTTTGACCCTAAAGCTAAATCGTCACCTCTTAAAACAGAAAATTACACACGTCGATGATGCTTTAATTAACCAATTCCCTCCATCTATGTTTTTTTTTTACAATTTAAAACACGGTTACAATCGTCATAATCAAACGATTCCTTTCGTTAAGTGCGTGCTTTTCGTTTTCTTTTAGAATCATAAAAATTTAAATAAAGAAGAAAATGGCAACGATTTGTTTTGGACCTCCTCCACTTCCTCCAAATAAAAAATCTTTAATCAATAGTAATGGTTACTCAAGAAATAGAAAACACAGCCACAGTTTGTTATCGTCAACTTATCACAGTTTTCGCGATCCCGTCGAAGATGAAATCAATATCGTTCCGACTGAAGAAATAGAATTAGTCGAATTAAAAACTAAATCAATAAGGAAAGTGATGCACGCGAATTCGATGAATAGAGGTTACGACAAACCTGTATGTTTAGTAAGAAGTGCTTCGGATGGGAATTTACATAAGAAGAAGACGACCCCTTCACCTATGACACTGAATAAGTACATAAAAGTGCTTAGCGGCAGTTGGAAGAATCTACTTAACTGTAAGTACGCGTGGTAAAATTAATAGGGGAATAAACAGTATGGATACGCGCGAGTTACTTCTTCCATACGGATGCAAATTTCAGGAAATAACAGTTTGTGTAATGGGGGGACTCTCCGGAATAGTACTAATTACAGCCCGACAATAAAAGTTTATTGGCTACGGTTTTATGAGCCTATAGTCCTATGGGTCTAAGTTTATTTTCTCCCCACGTAAAATGAGAAGAAATAAATTTACTTTTATAAAAAAAAAATTTTGTACAGTAAAACCTCGATCTAGAATCTAACCCAGGTTATTTCTCAAGTTGCTCTATTCCAGGTTCATAGATAAACTCGGGGTATTCCCCGAATTGTCTATACAGTGTATTAATCAAGGACGGTAGTTCTAGTTTTAATTGTTATTCAGCGCTAGACTGTTGTATATTTTTCTTGATCTAAAACTAGAACTAACACTACACTGAAAAATATACAACAATCTAACGCTGAATAACAATTAAAACTAGTACTAACACTAGCATTAGAACTAACACTAGATCTAGAACCAGAATCATTCGGGTTTAGCTCTGCGAGCCTTAAGACAGCTAAACCCTAAGGTTTCTAATTCTAGGTCTAGCATTAGTTTTAACTCTAGTGTTAGTTCTAGTTTTAATAATTCTAATGCTAGTGTTAGTTTTATGGAAAATATACAACAATCAACTGAATGACAATTAAAACTAGAACTAACACTAGACCTAGAACTAAAAACTTTCAAGTTTAGACGTGCATTTTCAGAGTCTTTAAAGTGTAAATTAAAAATTTTTCATATTTCACTTCCTTTCCCATATTATTCCGTTATAACAAAGTTTTACTGTATCCAAACAATTTTAATAAACACGATAAATTTAGATCAAAGATCATTTTATTTGTAAATTTTACTTTCGCATCTGTTGGAATTTCGGGACAACGGGAATGAAAAGACAACAAGCACACGCCCGGAATGCAATTGTGGGATTAAAATTGGCAGAGTGGGTTGGTAGGCCCGAGATTCTTGCGCGAGACCCTGGTCGCATGCTTCGAATCGTTCGGACGCAATTAATTCGGCATCCGATCGACGTCGTCGTCGTCGTTGTCGTGCGTGGAATTTTCAAAGCCACGTTTCCGAATTGATATATCCACGCCCACGCCCCAATTACGGCTAAACCATCACCGTCGACCTTCCAAAAAATCAAAAAAATAAAAATAAGCAAACAAAAACCGACTTCGTTTGCGAGATCGTAATTCGCTCATTTTATAATTCTCATCGATCCGTCTCTCGGCAGCTCTCTTTTAAAAACAAACTTGGCTCCCGAGTTTGTGACAAAAAGAAAGAGGAGACGAAAATAAAAAAAAGTTTAACCGAAAGCTGCTCGATGCTGAAGGCATCAGTTTAAACGCGAATCTGGAACAGTGCGAGTGGGTACTTCATTTAAAATCTAGTGGGATGCTTCGGAGGCTCATTGTGCATTTTATGTGTCAAGTACTACAATTCTTTGGTGTGGAATTCCCACTTTTTTTTGTAGGGAACGTTAAGAATGAGTATTGCAGATTTGACGGAATGTTGTTGTAAAGGAGGTAAAGAATAATGATTTTAGACAATAGAAAATGATTTTTACCTAGTTAAGCATACTTTTTTGGAATTAATGAAATATTAAGCAACCACCTACATCAACTAATATATTATTGGCTCAAATTAAGCACAATTATTCTTAAATCAATTTTATATAACCTATAATTATAACTATGTACAAAAATTAAAGATATGAGTTACGCAATATTGCGGAATAATCATAATTATTTTATAGAATTACATGAAAGCAAACTTTGGTGAGTTTGGAATCAATAAGGAGTCGTAAATAATCTATTGCCAAGACTCTGCACCTCGAGAACAAAGATTGGCAATCTTGGAACTTAATTTCTTAATTTTTTTTTTTTTTTGACAACCTGTGTAAATTCTATTATAATATTCTATTCTGTTCTGAAACATCTTGCTATTTAGTGATATACTTGGAATTACTTTTTATCTTCGCTTCATGTTATCTCTTTAAGATTCTAAACGAGTTTGTTTTGGAGAAACCAATTTTAAAAGTGATTGATACTAAAATCTGAAAAGGTTTTTAGCATATTGAAGTCGTTTGAGAAAGATACATTTCTGTAATTTTATGTAGGAACGTAGAGTTAACATTGCTTTGAAATAATCTGATAGTAATTGGTCTTCATCTCAGAATTAGATAACAGATTATCTAACCATATTTGTTGACCTTAATAAATTACTTTCATTAATATTATTAATAACATCAACAACTAAAGAAATAACTTCAAACCCTGGGATGTAATTTACTGAATACTCCGTTAATATCAGTGCCACTAGTAAGCCAAAAACAAAACTGACAATATCACCGATGGCCAATCCAAATAATAACGTCCAAAATAAAAATATCCAGTACTTAATGAGGTTTTAAAATGAGATGGGTTTATCGTGCGTATCAATATGTCTTTCAATTTGACATTTATCTTCTCATACAGTATGGTAACCGGAATGTATTGGATAATCTGCTTTTGGAATTTAGAGGTGGTTAATCTTTTGAATATTATAGTTAAAAAAATTCCAAGGAATTGGTAATCAAAGTTGATAACTATAACTAATCATAGTTGAGATGTATGTTGTAAGAATGCGATGATAAAGGAGAGGCGTCTATGTCGAAAATTCCATTCCATTAATTTGTCGGCGTCTTTTTCCATCACCAATTTATAGTGATGAGTTTTTTTATTAAAAAAAAATGTTTAATAGTTTTCAAACTTTCTATTAAAGTAAGAATTTAATGCACGTCTTTATCGTGGAATTTTGTTTTATTTTTATTTACAAACTTCGGTAACTCCGTGATTGTGTAAACTTTTTCCGTCAATAAATTTTTGTTTATAATCCAACCCTACGTTTAATAATGATTCGATAAATTTTGCAAAATTACTTCTGACCAAGTTGTACTAATTGTGATACCTTCAGGAAAGCAACACTTTCAATCGTCAGGTACAATTTTGTATGTAGGGTATATTTTATAGTTAATGTAATAATCGTATGTTTCGTTTTTGTTGCAACACCTGCTTAAATGGTCAATTTGTCTAGAAAGAACTATGATACATCTTTGTGTCTTTATTTGCCCTTACTAGAATTTTCAACAACAAGCTTCCCTTGTTTGACATATAATAGTTCATCTGGCGTTTCATGAAATCTCACTTTTACATATGATATAAAGTTGTGTATTTGATGTGGACTATAACAGAATCCTCGATAAAAACATCCATCAAAATTGATTTTCATCAACTAAAATTAAAATGATAATGATAAAAATCAAGTGCATTGTAATTAATTTTAATGAATACAATTCAGCCATTCCACGTTTATCCTATTCAATCAGTCAATAGCTATCACTGGTTAACTTTATTTTAAGCATTAACTTTTAGTCTTAATTCTAAATGAATTTGACTTGCTGATATCAAATTTGAATTTCTTTTTTTTTGGCAACTATTGGGATATAAAGGGAATGCGTTTCTCACAAAATATAGCAGTTTCTCAGCTAAAACCATTTATTATACAAACCCAATTTGCATACAACCATTTTTCTACGCCTTTTTTGCATGAACCAACCTAGGGATACTACTCTGAATACCCCAACAGTAATCAGCTATCAGATTTGTTGAATGTAATATCTCTAAACTCTTAGGTTTAATACATCATTCTGGCGTAGGTTAACTGGCAACAATAATTTGTATCCTGTTTCAATGACTTTAATGTTGAATCAAGCATTATTTAAATAAACGATATATTACAATGAACACAATCGCATCTTCTCACTGTTATCATAAAACTTTCAATCCCTTTTGAATAGAAGTTTGAGCTTATCATGACACTAACCCAAAACATGCACACAACAAACCTAGAGCTGCTTTCTTCGCTTTTATTCTTACATCAGTAGAATTTTCAATGCATGCAGGTGCAAGTTCGAAAATGTTCGCTTTTCGAATGTCCTAATATTGATAACGTTAACAATAACAAATGTTAACAAAAATTGAGGTTGACGGTGGAATTCTCATTCCCCATAGTAACATTCTCATAGGACAATGCACTATGTTGATAGACATCAGATTTTGTATGCCTCACTGAACCTGTTTTCTTTAATTTTGAAATCAATCCTCTGACTGTCAACTTATATTGTGTTCCTCAATCAATTTTTCTATGGTGCAAAATAATGATCAATAAGGACTGTAATTTAATTGCATCTGTTAGATTTGAGATTAAGAGCCATACTGGTAAAGCATGTTGCAAGCTTGTTACTGCTGCACTTGCATTATTCGATATATTGCGCATTTGCCTGGGGGTTTTAGCCATCTCTTTAAGCTACTTTCTCGAAGTCTAAATCATATTTCACCTTCCCTGGGTGGCACAGCACTTTAGCCTTCCGATATTGCGGATAAATTTTAAACGTACTAACGATGAACGTTGAAGGGCTCTATACTGGAAGCTCTGACGAATGGATAACCCAATGGCATCTAATATATATATACGGTTCTACAACATAGCTTCCTTTACCCATCCTGCAGAGAATAGCATAGCTTTGATCCAGCTCTAAGTGTTAGAGGGGTGTGGTGCAACGAGATCAATCACAAATATTATAAATAAGAGAAAGTCCCTCCTCTAACCCAGATGATCAAAGCTTCCTTTGTTAAAATTGGTGTATTAGACACTGAGGTTGATTTGAGGACGAGAGGCTATGTCCCTAACACAATTCACCCCACTCAGCTATTGCAGCCGAAGACATGATTAGCCATTTTACCTGCGCTGACTTCATCTTCTCCGTTAACCCAACCCAATCATTCTAACTAGCAAAGTTCATCCGCCAAAATTTCCAAAGTTATCAACTTTTGTGCTATCTTTCTTCTCTGACTATGCATGATCTAATTAGTTAGAAACTATTGGTGGAGTCTCTAA